GGGTGGCCTTGGAATGCTGTCAATGGGTCACGTCCTTATACCGCAGAGTGATCTTAGGTGGTCGAAACAAACGGATGTCGCCGGTAAGCCGTTTCTGCCCGTAGATCGAAAAGATACTTATTCTCTTCCTAGTCACCCATTTCCGCGCTGGAATGTCGCATGAGGAGGATCAACTCATTCCTAATCTGTACCGTTACCTTCAACCCTGGGAGGCTGAATTCTTGGACTCGGCTCGCGTTTGGTCCGAGTATTCCATGAAACGGAAGGAGGCCAATGCCCAGAACAGACGGCTTACGCTAGAGGACCTTGAAGACAGCTGGGATCGTGGAATCCCGCGAATCAACACTCTTTTCCAAAAGGATCGGCACACGTGCGTCTTCATGTATCTTTGTTTATTTCTCCCCCCCTAACATGTATTATAGTTTGGCTTATGATCGCGGCTGGCGTGTTCGAACTGACTGGAAACAGTACCAGCTCCTCAAGCAGTGCGTATTTTCCCAACTTAATCCTGTTCGTAACTAAACTCAGTCCATAGCAACCCCTTCTGGTGGACGTCGCAGCGGCACGACGGTAAATTGTGGCAATTAAACAACTACCGTGTCGACGTTATCGCGGCCCTTGGTGGTGTTGAGGGCATCTTGGAGCATACCCTGTTCAAAGGGACCTACTTCCCGACGTGGGAGGGTGCGTTCTCTGTCTTCGATTCCTATCCCTCCTGTGGCTTATAAAGTTATTAGGTTTATTCTGGGAGAAGGCGTCCGGCTTCGAAGAATCAATGAGATACAAGAAACTGACCAACGCTCAGCGGTCGGGTCTTAATCAGATTCCCAATCGGCGTTTCACCCTGTGGTGGAGCCCGACTATCAATCGTGCCAATGTCTACGTCGGTTTCCAGGTCCAACTTGATCTTACTGGTATATTCATGTGAGCATAAATGCCCCTGATCTCAGACCTGTGGACTAAGATCTTGCTACGCAGGCACGGTAAAATCCCGACCTTGAAGATCAGTTTGATCCAGATTTTCCGTGCTCATTTGTGGCAGAAGAGTGGGTCTTGCTTGTTGCCGCCTTTGTTGTCGCTGACCCCTCCATTCCAGTTCACGAGAGCGTAGTCATGGATCTGGTGAGCTCGGTGTGGTTGTGCCGTTGTACCACAACTAACGTACAAATATAGTGTCAAGTCTTCGATCAAGAACTGGAGCCTCTCCAAATCGAGACTGTGCAGAAGGAGACCATCCATCCTCGAAAGAGTTACAAGATGAACTCCTCTTGCGCCGACATCCTTCTTTTCTCCGCGTACAAGTGGAATATTTCTCGGCCGTCGCTTGTCACAGATGTAAATTGGCGGTCCTATTAATGATCTATTTCTTCTCCCTTATGTCTTGCCCAGGTCAAGGACGTGCTTGATGGCACCACCAGCAACAAGTTCTGGATCGATATCCAGCTCCGATGGGGTGACTTCGACACTCACGACATTGAGCGGTACACCCGTGCCAAGTTCTTGGATTATGTATGTCCATTGTTCTCTCTCTTTCTTTCCGTCGTTAACACGCTTTAGGTCTCCGATTCGATGAGCATTTACCCCTCACCAACTGGTGTCATGATCGGCATGGATCTCGCGTACAACCTGTGGTCTGCGTACGGTAATTGGTTCCCTGGCATGAAACCCCTCATCCAGCAAGCCATGGCCAAGATCATGAAGGCCAACCCGGCTGCACACGTCCTGCGAGAGCGAATCCGGAAAGGGTTGCAGCTGTACTCGTCTGAGCCGACGGAGCCGTACCTGAACAGCCAGGTTAGTTTCCAGTTATGTGTAGTGGCTCAAGCTCAACCTCGCTTCACAGAACTACTCCGAGTTGTTCTCGAATCAAATTATCTGTGAGTGGTACATCTCTTTCCTTGCCTTCGTTACTTATGTGTTACCCAGGGTTCGTCGATGACACGAATGTATACCGTGTCACAATCCACAAGACGTTCGAGGGCAATTTGACGACGAAGCCGATCAGTAAGTATCTCTGCACAATATTTTATATTCTCTGATTTTCTTTTGTAGACGGCGCCATCTTTATTTTCAACCCCCGCTCTGGGCAGCTGTTCCTCAAGATCATCCACACGAGCGTCTGGGCTGGTCAAAAACGTCTTGGTCAGCTCGCAAAATGGAAGACCGCCGAAGAAGTCGCTGCACTGGTTCGCTCTCTACCAGTGGAAGAACAGCCGAAGCAGGTCATCGTCACTCGCAAGGGCATGTTGGGTGCGTATTCAAATGATTCACGGTCCTTTATTTAATCTCATTCGATTTATAGATCCTCTCGAGGTCCATTTGCTGGATTTCCCAAACATTGTCATCAAAGGCAGTGAATTGCAACTCCCTTTCCAGGCCTGCATGAAGATGGAGAAGTTCGGCGACTTGATCCTGGTGAGCGTATTATTTCTTTACACCTCCTGAGTATTAACGAAGCCTTCAGCGTGCCACCCAACCTCAAATGGTGTTGTTCAGTCTGTATGGTGCGTGTTACGATTACGTCAGCGACGTGATTCTGATGACATTTAACAGATGACTGGCTCAAGTCCATTTCAAGTTATACTGCTTTCTCGCGCCTCATCCTACTGCTCCGTGGTTTGCATGTCAACAATGAGAAGGCCAAGATTATCTTGCACCCGGACAAGTCCACCATCACCGAGCCGCATTTCGTCTGGCCGTCACTCAGCGATGAGGAGTGGATCAAGGTCGAGGTCACTATGAAGGAGCTCATCCTCGCGGTAGGTTCACTCTCAGCAATTGGGGAGCTCCCACTGACAGTGATTTTCAGGACTTTGGGAAGCGAAACAGCGTCAATATCGCTTCGTTGACCGTCAGTGAAGTCCGAGACATTATCCTTGGCCAGGAGATCGCCGCGCCGTCCGTCCAGCGACAGCAAATGGCAGAGCTGGAGAAGAGCTCCGAGGCCCAAAGCCAGGTCACTGCGGTCCAAACGCAAGTACCCTCTTTCATCCGGTGCTGCCTTGTCGCTGACCAAACATCCATCCAGGTCGACGACCAATGTTCACGGTGATACAATCCAGACGGTGACGAGTGAGTTTTTCTTTGACTTTCAGTGGTGATTATTTGCTGACGAAGTTATGCAGCGACCAACTACGAGCAGACGGTGTTCAGCAGCAAATCCGACTGGCGCGTGCGGGCAATATCTGCGACGCATCTTCCGTTGCGGCTGCAGCACATCTACGTGTCAAACGATGATGTCAAAGACGATGCTGCGTCGTATACGTATGTTCTGCCCAAGAACATTCTCCGTGCCTTTATCACGGCAGCGGACCTTCGGACTCAGGTCGCGGCATTCCTGTATGGTGTCTCGCCGCCGGACAACAAACAAGTCAAGGAAATCAAGGTGCGCCCCACGCTTACCGTCATTTTCTTTGTCGCTGATAGTCCATAGGCCATCGCATGGGTTCCCCAGCGAGGCAGCAACAACAGCGTCGAGCTTCCGTCACAGCTGCCCAAGGACGATTTCTTGCTTAAAGACCTCGAGCCGCTGGGGTGGATCAAAACGCAGGCGCTCGAGATCAACCACCTTTCGCCGACGGACGTGACGACGCAGGCGAAACTGATGGCGGACCACCCTGAGTGGGGCTCGTCGTCGATCTGCCTCACGGCGTCGTTCACGCCCGGGTCCGTGTCGCTCTCCTCGCACTCGCTGACGGTGGCCGGGTTCGAATGGGGCAGGAAGAACCCGGACAACTCGCAGAATCCGCCGGGGTTCAACCCGAACATGTCGGAGCGCGTGCAGCTGCTGTTGTCGGACCGGATCCTTGGGATGACGCTGGTGCCCGAGGGGCGGGTGTGGAATTATGGGATTGGGCTGACGCAGCTGTGGGCGCCGACGCTGAGTTACTCTATGACGCTGGACACACCGCTGTTGTTCTGGGCGGAAGAGCATCGGCCGGCGGCTTTCTTGACAGTGCGTTTCTTCCTTGTTTTTCCCTTAGCGGTGGACTAACGATACTCCTCTCCTCTAGTTTGCGAACTTGGAGCAGGGCGAGGACAGCGCGGACGTTGAAAATAGTTTTGCGTAATTGCTTATGATTTTTCTTTAAGTGTATATTACTACTATATGTTTTCAAAAACGATGTATGAAGTAGCGTTGCGCAGGTTATGTCTGAACGGCATTTGTTGTGGCGCAAAAGAACATCCGATGCTGTGCTGTTCCGAATCGGGGGCGCTCGTCCGGGGGCTGAAAAAGGAAATTTTGCCAGTGGGTTTGGGAGAGACAAACGGGTGTGCCGAGGGTGTGTCTTCTTGTCCCCGCCCCGGGATAGAGCTCCCCCACCCCCAGCTTCGCACTGATATATCGATATCGCCATTGACAACATTACAAGAGAAGACTCCAACCCGGAGATGGGGCGCTTACTGGTGGTGGAAATGTAAATGCCTGATTAAGTATGCTCTCATCACGACGACACGCACACTCACATACGGGTTTATCGTTTTTTCTTTCGAATTCCTGATATTCATTGTACCTACGAACGCCATTGTTTTAATTCAGCGACGATGACGACGGAATGACGAGAACGGGTCTGAGGCCGTGGTATCAAAATGTTTTACCCTGCCCACTGGCGCGAAGGGACCTAGGGCGTCGTCTGAGGCCTGATAATGTGTTCCACGGAGTCTGAGTAATACCTGACCCGGCCCTGAGGCTGACCGCACCGGAATAGAGAGTAGCACCAAGCTGGATTGAAGTGGATGGGTGAGTTTACAGCCTTACAGGACACTGGAGGTATTGGATACACGAGAGGGTTTATTTCGCAGGTTAGCCGTAACATCCTGTGATAAGCTTTTAAGCTACATGCTTCTGTACGTTGTGTATCCTATGTCTTCGAGGCCAGCCTGAGGCCTGAGGACGCGATACCGCTACACGATCAGGCGGAGGCTGGGTGTAAGAAAGGTCCCTGAATAAGGAATAAGGAATAAGGAAAGAAAAAAAAAATTATTTCAGTTCAGAACCATTCAGAGACCGGGAATCGAACCCAGGACCACCCGATAACTCTTTTACCATTTCAACACAACTGCGGGCGATGTTACCACTACACCATGTCTGAATTGATAACCTTCGAGATGTGATGTACTTGATCATGGGTGGAGGTGAAAGATGCGATACACATTCAAAGCTTAAGGTAATGCATTTTCACCGGAGGGTGCTGCGGCGGCGACTCGGATGTGCGTGGGTCCGGGTCTACTATTGATAGATAGCTGAGGAGGATGGGTATCAAGCCCAAGGAGGCTCCCGGCCGTCAACAACGGGAGAAGCAGGGCGTTGCAACTTGAAGTGGACGACAGACATAAATGGCGATTATTGCACGCCGCGGACGTCGACAATCAGATTTGGAATTTGGAAGGACCAGCTCATGATTGTGAGTCGAGTGGATGATCAGAGGAAGGTGATGCCTGTGTCGGTTGAGAGTTAAAGAGGGACGGTGACAGAGATGGAGACCAAATAAATAGAGGCATCGAGGGTGGCTGACGGTGGTGGCTTGGTGAGGAGAGTTGGCAAGCTGTGTACACAGGGAATAGATGGAATACGCCCATGGATATATAGCCGGAAGATCCGCCAACGGAAGTATACGCGTCGCATAAAATGTCATTGGTAATTAAAAATGGGTCCTGGACTGTCCTGGACCTGAAAATATCTGATCGGTTCCTCGTCTACGCAACCGAAAAGAAACGACGACCAACCACGACCGGTTGCGTTTGCAAATTGTGCGTACCAAGGTTGAGGAAAAAAAACAAAGTCGAAAAGCTAACAAGAAAATAGTGATCGGTCCTCTTGCTCTTGTATGAGCAACAACAACCGTCGCAGCAGTCTGCTCGTCCAGGCAGGCGACGCCCTTGCCGCCTGGAGCAGAGTCCGCCGTCGTCCCAGTGTCCGTCAGCCACCTCCCCAGCCCATCCTCGCCGTCCCCCATGTAATCGACATAAGTGCGCCCCCGCCGGACGAGGAGCTCGAGGAGCGCCAGCGTCTGCGCGACGCTGCTGCCCATTCCATCGGTCTCGGGCCCCTCCTCGAGCCCACGGAGGAGGTCCAGGAGGAGCAGGAGCAGCAAGAGGTGGTCGTCTTGCCACCTTTTCCCGCGTCTCCGGGAGCACTCGCCCCCTTTGCCGCCCTCACAGGCAGTCTGCCCAAGTACTACCCCCCCAGCAGCCTCCGCATATTCGCCCTCGCAAAGCAGTGGAAGCCAAGGCATATCCTACTCTCCGTCCCCGCAGGCCCCGTCTCGCACCTCCATCTCTTCAAGGGGTCAAATCCCGATGACCGCGAGCTCGAGCGTCTCGAGATAAATGCAGACAGCGTTGTCTTTGTCGCAGAGTCGTTGTCTGTCGCAGAGTCCGTGGTCGCGCTCGACGCACCCGCCCACATCGTCAAGGTCGCCGGCCACGACGTCGGCGCGCGCCGGCGCGACTGGAACTCCACCGACGATGCAGGCCGTACCGTATGGCTCCTCCACCTCGCCACCCCCGCCGACGCCCAGCGCTGGATCTCCGCCATCAAGAGCGCCATTTTCGAGCAGCGGTTCGATAATTTCCCTTAATTAGTCTAAATAATCTAACTGTAACCGCAGGACGCAACGCGCCGGTTTGGCGCCGAGCTCGACCGCCCCATCGGGAACGGAGCCGCGCGGTGACATGGACGTTATGCTCTCCATGCGTATGCACGCCGCTACCTCCAACTCGTCCCCCATCCATTCCAGACCGCGTTCAAACTCTACAAACCCCGTACCAACCCCCACCACCGCGCGCCCCCTCCCACCGACGCCGACATCGCCCACCGGCACGTACGCCGCGTCCCTCGCCCCCTCCGCATCCTCCCGCTCCGTGCGCTCCGTAGCCACCGCCCCGCCCCCGGTTCCCCCACTCCTCTCCCTCTGTCTCCCATCCCTTCTCTTTCACCTCCAAATCCGCCTCCCACTCGAATTCACAATCGACGCCAACGAGCGGCGCGCGCTCGCAGCCGGGCACCGTGCGCCCCGACTCGAGCTCTGGCCTGGGGGGTAAGCTCGGTAGGGGCACGGCGGTGGCGGCTTTGAAGGGGTTATTTGACCGGGGCCGCCCGCGTTCATCGAGCGCCGCGTCCTTCTCCTCCATGGCCTCCTCCTCGTTGTCGCACCGCAATCCCAGCTCATCGCACTCCCACGCGCAAGCGGCGTCCTCGTCGTCGTTGTCCTACGGCTCGGTGGAGGAGATGAGCTTCGGGGAGAGCTTCGGCCGGATGGGCACCCTGCTTGCGAACGGGAACGGGAATGGTGAGGCGAACCATGCGCGCGCAGTCACCCTGCCTGCGTCGACGTCCACTGGGAGGCCGACTCGGGCGCCGGATCGTGGGGACGCGCGACAACGGCAGCTCGACCCACCTGCCGAACGGCCACGCACATCCGCAGGATGGGACCTCGCCCAAGCGGCGCACGCTCGCGTTTGGGATCGGCAGCGTCACCCCGTTGCAGCCGCCGCCCCGGAAGAAGCGGTGGACCGCGGTGTCGGAGTCTCAGCTGGGGGAAGAGCCCGACGAGGAGTGGATGGGTTCATGTCTGTGAACGGGCACGGGCACTCGGCCTCGTCGCATCCGTACGCGAACGGCTACGTGCGCCGGCGAGCGCGCACAGCGGCCGGCCGGGGAGCGCGCACAGCCATAAGTCGCATAATGGGTATGCGAATGGATACGCGAACGGACATGGGCACGGGGGCAGCTCGGGCCCGAACACGCCTGCGTCGGGGATGTATGCACACCCGCATGCGAGCGGGAGCACGGGGACGGCGGGGAGCTTTGGGGTAAGGTCGACGCGCACGAGGGAGGGGTCGGTGCGACGCGAGGGGTATGAGGAGGGGCGGGAAGGGAGCGTGCGGACGCGGGCGGAGAGCGTGAGGACGTATGAGGGGAGGGAGTCGGTGAGGAATTACGAGGGGCGGGAGGGGAGCGTGCGGACGAGGCCCGAGTCGATAAGGACGGGGACTGGAGGGACGCACGAGGGGTACCTCAGTGCGAACGCGGATCGGTTGAGTGAGCGGAGCGTGTCGACGGGGGGGAGGTCGCGCGCGTCGAGCGTGGGTAACAGCCCGAATCCCGTGAATGGGAGTGGGGGTGGTGTCAACGGGGTGAATGGAAGTGGGGCAAACGGGAGAGGGAGCACGGAGGTAGGAAGTGGGGGTGGTGGGAAGGGCCGCCGCTGGTCGACGCTCCCGCGGCGCCTCACGCCGCCTGCGTCCTCGCCCCCCACCTCACCGCATAGTGGGAGCATCCCGCACCCGTACGCCGCTGCCTCCGCCTCCCCCGAACGCGAACGGGAGCGCCCGCCAAGCCGCAGCTCGTTTGGCTCCGTGGGTAAGAGCGGTTGGGCAAGAGGGAGCGGGAAGCGCACGTCGGGCGTGAGCGTGGGGAGCGTAGGGGGTGTGTCGAGCGGCAGTGCGGGGAGTGGTGCTGGGAACATCAGCACGTCGCCCGGGCGCGGTGGGAGCCGTATTTCCGTTCCCCCGCCCCCGCGGCCTGCGCCAACGAGTGCCCTTCCCCCCGCGCCCAGCGAGAGCCCCAACAGCCGCACATCCTTCCGCGAGTCACGCGCGTCGTCGTTGTCGGTGTCCTTCCGCGACTCCACCCCACCTAATCCCATTGCAACCAGTCGGTCGCTCCCGACGCCTGCACCCCCGCCGACGTCGCAGCCCGCCACCGCCACGCACAGCGCGCCACATGGCAAGGCGTCGTTCCGCGAGTCGATGTCGATAACGCACCGTGCGCTGCGCCTCTCGCTCATGGCGCCCAAGCCCCCGCCCGCAACCGTGCTTCCTCCACGCCCGGACGAGGTTGCGTCAACGCTACAGGACCGCCGGCGGAGTAGTAGTAGCGCGAGTAGCCGCCCAGTGCGCAACAGCACGAGCAGCAGTAGCTCCGCCCTTTACGCCATCCCCGCGTCGCCAGCGTTCCCTCCGCCGCGGGGCCCGCTGCCGCCTACTCCCGCGCCCGTGTCCACGCCGGTACCTGCGCCGACGCGCAACACGTCGCTCAAGCTCAAGCACCGCCTGCGCATCCTCAGCGCGCCATCTCAGTCGCCGCAGCAACCAAAGCAGGAGTCCTCCCGACTTACGAGCGCCGACGAGAGCCCTCCGCGCCACAGCTCCGACTCCGCCCCGCCCGCGCATACGCGCGCACGTGGGCCCATGACACTCGCGAGCTTCCTGTCGGCGTCGGTGCCTTCAACACCGACGACCTCCGCGCACGCGCCGCTCTCCCCCGCCACGTTTGCTGCCGCGCTCGCCAGCGCCGCGTACATGGACGGCTCGCCCCCGCCGCCGGCGACGCCCCTAGGCGAGAAAATCATCCAGTTCCACACCCAGAACGACCCGAGCTTCCTCGAGATGTCGGCTGCGTCGACGCCGGTACTGCGCCCGCTGCCCGCGCTCCCCACCTTGAGTGTGGACCCGCCGGCGCCAGAGCAGGAGTATGCGGAGATCGTGTCGCTGCCGCCGCCGCGCCGTGGCTCGCGACAGATCTCGATCAAAGATGTCGAGCGCGAGCCGACGCCGCCGCCTGAGCCAGAGAATGGTCGCTCCCGCGCGATACGGAGGCGGAGGGCCCGGGCCCGGGAAGCTCTTTTCGCTCTCGCGCCAAGGCTCCGCCGTCTCTCTCTCCCTCGTCACCGCTACCACCATGTAATAACACTATCCTCTTTCGTCTACTTTGCTACTACATAGATCATTTTCGCCCAGGGTTTCTGTATTTTTTGTGTCTTACCTGACACATGTTTTTTGCTGCTCTTTTGGATTTATCATTTATACCAAGTCGTATTCGCTTTACACTCACTTGTACCACCACCGCTCCGCTTGGGAGCAAGGATCACTACGTACGATATGCAATAAAATGTAACCGCTACTGCATACACTTTTTTTGTTTGAAACAAAAACTTGGAAATAAAATAATAAATATGCAAAGCCCTATTCGGCGTTGTGCTATCGTTGTGCTTGGCATATTCTGCTCTATTTTCCAGAGCAGGGTCGAGTTGCTTTCTCCCCTCCAACGGTCTGATACCAAATATGGTCCCACTACGCCTGCACGTGG